CTTGTATAGAACATTAAGGTATCAGATAAAAGGTGAAGGACTGGTGTTCCTTGTATAGAATATTAAGGTATCAGATGAAAGGTGAAGGACTGGTGATCCTTGTATAGAACATTAAGGTATCAGGTGGAAGGTGAAGGACTGGTGATCCTTGTATAGAACACTAAGGTATCAGATGAAAGGTGAAGGACTGGTGATCCTTGTATAGAACATTAAGGTATCAGGTGGAAGGTGAAGGACTGGTGATCCTTGTATAGAACACTAAGGTATCAGATGAAAGGTGAAGGACTGGTGATCCTTGTATAGAACATTAAGGTATCAGATGAAAGGTGAAGGACTGGTGATCCTTGTATAGAAAATTAAGGTATCAGACGAAAGCTGAAGGACTGGTGATCCTTGTATAGAACATCAAGGTATCAGATGAAAGGTGAAGGACTGGTGTTCCTTTTATAGAACATTAAGGTATCAGATGAAAGGTGATGGACTAGGGTATCAGGTGGAAGGTGAAGGACTGGTGATCCTTGTATAGAACACTAAGGTATCAGATGAAAGGTGAAGGACTGGTGATCCTTGTATAGAACATTAAGGTATCAGATGAAAGGTGAAGGACTGGTGATCCTTGTATAGAAAATTAAGGTATCAGACGAAAGGTGAAGGACTGGTGATTCTTGTATAGAACATCAAGGTATCAGATGAAAGGTGAAGGACTGGTGTTCCTTTTATAGAACATTAAGGTATCAGATGAAAGGTGATGGACTAGGGTATCAGGTGGAAGGTGAAGGACTGGTGATCCTTGTATAGAACATTTAGGTATCAGACGAAAGGTGAAGGACTGGTGATCCTTGTATAGAAAACTAAGGTATCAGATGAAAGGTGAAGGACTGGTGATCCTTGTATAGAAAATTAAGGTATCAGATGAAAGGTGAAGGACTGGTGATCCTTGTATAGAACATTAAGGTATCAGATGAAAGGTGAAGGACTGGTGATCCTTGTATAGAACATTTAGGTATCAGACGAAAGGTGAAGGACTGGTGATCCTTGTATAGAAAACTAAGGTATCAGATGAAAGGTGAAGGACTGGTGATCCTTGTATAGAACATCAAGGTATCAGATGAAAGGTGAAGGACTGGTGTTCCTTTTATAGAACATTAAGGTATCAGATGAAAGGTGATGGACTAGGGTATCAGGTGGAAGGTGAAGGACTGGTGATCCTTGTATAGAACACTAAGGTATCAGATGAAAGGTGAAGGATTAGTGTTTCTTGTATAGAACATTTAGGTATCAGACGAAAGGTGAAGGACTGGTGATCCTTGTATAGAAAACTAAGGTATCCGATGAAAGGTGAAGGACTGGTGATCCTTGTATAGAACATCAAGGTATCAGATGAAAGTTGAAGGACTGGTGTTCCTTTTATAGAACATTAAGGTATCAGATGAAAGGTGAAGGACTGGTGATCCTTGTATAGAACATTAAGGTATCAGATGAAAGGTGAAGGACTGGTGATCCTTGTATAGAACATTTAGGTATCAGATGAAAGGTGAAGGACTGGTGTTCCTTGTATAGAACACTAAGGTATCAGATGAAAGGTGAAGGATTAGTGTTTCTTGTATAGAACATTTAGGTATCAGACGAAAGGTGAAGGACTGGTGATCCTTGTATAGAAAACTAAGGTATCCGATGAAAGGTGAAGGACTGGTGATCCTTGTATAGAACATCAAGGTATCAGATGAAAGTTGAAGGACTGGTGTTCCTTTTATAGAACATTAAGGTATCAGATGAAAGGTGAAGGACTGGTGTTCCTTGTATAGAACACAATCATATTGACTGATAATTTTGAATAATACAAATTTGGCACAGTTTGATGGGTCTTGAACCTTTATTTGGCATAGAACTGAATCTTTGCAAGTGAAAACACTTTTAAATTGTTCATTAAAGCTATTAGGTTGCGTATTAGACAATCTGATTAAAATATAGATCGCTGATTTCGTTATACGTCTAGATTAGTCTATGAAAGGTATATACTATGAAATTTAGAGCGAGGGGCTTGGTCCGGAAAACCTTGTTTTTGGACAATCAATGCTTTTGAATGGGGATATATGGTTGGAACACCCCCCCCTTTTTATCCTGGGTTGGAACACCCCTATCTTTTAAAAACGGCTGGATCCTCCCCTGTAATGTCCCCATAGATAGTCTAGCGGATAGTCATTAAAAAGCAACTACCAATAGATTAAAGATACTAGGGTTTATGTTTGTTTTTTTTGTTATTTCAAAGTAAAAACTAAAAGATTTATCAGAACATGTATATATGATATATATATATGTGGCACATTCTCTTCAGACATTATCACGGTTTTTCTATTCATGACATCGTCCTGAACATGCATGCAATATTTGCCACTGAACATTAAGCAACCAATAATCAATCAATCAATCAATCAATTCATGACAAAATAGATCAAGTTGCCTTAATTTCCCTTCACAAGGTTTCATAGTACACACTTTTTTGTGTACAAAGTAATTGCATGGATGATAAATTATCACAATTTTAAGATGGCGTTGTACTCTAATCAAGGTATAAAGAACCATATTTGTTACTCTTTATTTAAATGAAAGAAACTTGCAATCGTCAAAAAACATTTTTTAGATCCAAAGATTTAAATGGCAGGATATCTACAAGTCAATGTGAAAACTAATTACAAACTATTTAATTTAATTTGGATCACAGCATTTTATTCAAAATAGCCAGTGGCAATTTTTGTTTTAATATCTTGATTACGATACAATGAAATCTTACCCTTGTGGTCGTTCATGCGTAGTTACTTAGTACACGGAAAAAATATGTACTATGAAAATTAGAATATAGCAAAGTGCTCTCAACCAATGAAATTGTAGGATTTGATGCCTCTTAATTGATAAGAATGAATGTAAATCATGTTCTTAGTAAGGGATTATCCTATTATTTGGGTCTATTTACAGTTCAAAACAAAGAGTTTCTATAAATGAGTCACAACTGCCCCGGCCCGAAGCCGATTTATCAGATTGAAAGGATTTATCACAGTGATTGAAACTGAATAAAAGTTGAATTGTGAAACAAACAAACAAAAAATCAAAATAAGTTGAAGTTTACTGGTTCAGTAAAATTTGTACCTTTAATAATGTTATTATGAATATATTAACAACTTCAAATTACTCAAAAAATAAACAATATCAAAGCAATGCAAAAAGAAGAACAAAAAAGTTTTAAAATAAAAAATAACCTAAATCTTTAGCTTCCCAAAACTCTGATTACTGAACCAGCGGTTGGGAAGAATAGTTATTTCCAATATTCCGATAAAATAAAATGAAAAAAACAGGAATTTGATTAAAGTTTTGAATATATTTAAAACTTTTAAAGGCATTTTATTAGAACATTTCCCTGACATAATGAAATAGTATTTGATTTAAAAAGCCAGAACCAAAATATTGGCTGTGAAATAAAATTAGTTGTAACTCAAATGTATTTATTGATTTAAACTGTAAATAAAAAAGGAGAATTTCTCACTAAAATATTACATGATTTACATTCATACTCACAATCAGGAAACATATAGAATTCGTACCTTTTCTTTTTACTGTTTTGTCACCTAATGTCTCTAACGCATTTTTTAAATATTTCCCAAATTACCTAATGTCTCTAACGCATTTTTTAAATATTTCCCAAATTATAAGAAAGTCCTTGCATCACTAAAACTAACCCATAAATGAAATGCTGAAAAATGAAGTCATGCATCAATTATAAACATTTAATTTACACTGACAATGAAACTAATTCTTGGATACAACCAATCAAGAGATCAATTGAGCCTTAAGCACTTTACAATATTCTAAGTTTGTAAGAGAATGATAATCCCTTACTTCATGATAAGTACTCGCTAACGCTCGTACTTAATCATGAAGAAAGAGATTATCATTCTCTTACATATACTTAGAAGGCAAATTCAAGCAATTTGATTTGACGAGAAGTTGTAAATATGTGCTAATTGTTTATATACAAGCACGTTAGTTGTTATAGATATGAATTTTAATCAGATTGGTGTATTAAAATCCCTGTAAGCTTCATATTATGAATGAATGAATGAATCTTTATTGCTAAAACTTAAACATGCTATGGCAAACTTAACAACATATATAACACATGGATAGCTTGCGTATAAGAATCACTGTTAGCGTGCGTATTAGAATCACTGTTAGCTACCGTAATAGCATCACTCTTATCTAGCGTCTTATAATCACTGTTAGTTTGCGAATTAGAATTACTGACTGTTAGCTTGCGTATTATAATCATTGTTAGATAACGTATAAGAATCACGGTTAGCTAGCGTATTAAAATCACTGTTAGCTTGTGTATTAGAATCACTGTTAGCTTGCGTATTAGAATCACTGTTAGCTTGGGTATTAGAATCACTGTGAGCTTGCGTATTAGAATCACTGTGATCTTGCGTTATAGAATCACAGTTAGCTTGCCTATTAGAATCACTGTTAGTTTCCGTATAAGAAACACTGTTAGCTTGGGTATTAGATATACTGTTAGCTAGCGTATAAGAATTACTGTGAGCTTGCGTTATAGAATCACTGTTAGCTTGCATATTGGAATCACTGATAGTTTGCGTATTATAATCACTGTGATCTAGCGTATTAGAATCACTGTTAGCTTGCGTATTAGAATCACTTTGAGCTTGAGTTTTAGAATTACTGTTAGCTTGCGTATTAGAATCACTGTTAGCTTGAGTTTTAGAATTACTGTTAGCTTGCGTATTCGAATCACTGTTAGTTTGCGTATTAAAATCGCTGTGAGCTTGCGTTATAGAATCACTGTTAGCTTGCGTATTAGAACCACTGTTAGCTTGCGTTATAGAAACACTGTAAGCTTGCGTATTAGAACCACTGTTAGTTTGCGTATTAAAATCGCTGTGAGTTTGCGTTATAGAATCACTGTTAGCTTGCGAATTAGAACCACTGTTAGCTTACGTTATAGAACCACTGTTAGCTTGCGTATTAGAACCACTGTTAGCTTGCGTTATAGAACCACTGTTAGTTTGCGTATTAGAATCCCTGCTAGCTTGCGTATTAGAATCACTTTTGGCTTGTGTATTAGAATCACTGTGAGTTTGTGTTATAGAATCACTGTTAGCTTGCGAATTAGAACCACTGTTAGCTTACGTTATAGAACCACTGTTAGCTTGCGTATTAGAACCACTGTTAGCTTGCGTTATAGAACCACTGTTAGTTTACGTATTAGAATCCCTGCTAGCTTGCCTATTAGAATCACTGTTAGCTTGTGTATTAGAATCACTGTGCGTTTGCGTTATAGAACCACTGTTAGCTTGCGTATTAGAATCACTGTTCGCTTGCGTACTGTTAGCTTGCGTATTAGAATCACTGTTAGTTTGCGTATTAGAATCACTGTTAGCTTGCCTATTAGAATCACTGTTAGCTTGCGTATTAGAATCATTGTTAGCTTGCCTATTAAAATCACTGTTAGCTTGCGTATTAGAATCACTGTAAGCTTGCGTATAATAATCACTGTTAGCTTGCCTATTAGAATCACTGTTAGCTAGCGTATTAGAATCACTGTTAGCTTGCGTATTAGAATCACTGTTAGCTTGCGTATTAGAATCACTGTTAGCTTGCCTATTAGAATCACTGTTAGATTGCCTATTAGAATCACTGTTAGCTTGGGTAATGGAATCACTGTTAGGTATCGTATTGGAATCACTATGAGCTTGCCTATTAGAATCACTGTTAGCTTGCCTATTAGAATTACTGTTAGCTTGCGTATTAGAATCACTGTTAGCTTGCGTATTAGAATCACTGTTAGCTTGCCTATTAGAATCACTGTTAGATTGCCTATTATAATCACTGTTAGCTTGGGTAATGGAATCACTGTTAGGTATCGTATTGGAATCACTATGAGCTTGCCTATTAGAATCACTGTTAGCTTGCCTATTAGAATTACTGTTAGCTTGCCTATTAGAATCACTGTTAGCTTGCCTATTAGAATCACTGTTAGATTGCCTTTTAGAATCACTGTTAGCTTGCCTATTAGAATCACTGTTAGCTTGCCTATTTGAATCACTGTTAGCTTTCCTATTAGAATCACTGTTAGATTGCCTATTAGAATCACTGTTAGATTTCCTATAAGAATCACTGTTAGATTGCCTATTAGAATCACTGTTAGCTTGCCTATTAGAATCACTGTTAGATTGCCCATTAGTATCACTGTTAGCTTGGGTAATGGCATCACTGTTAGGTATCGTATTGGAATCACTATGAGCTTGTGTATTTGAATCCATATTAGCTTGCGTATTAGGTTTACCGTCAAGGAAAAACAGATTTGGAAATATCACGTATTTACGAGTTGCAAAACTGGATACAAAGTTAACGGTATGAACATTAATACTATTTCAAACATTAATTGACACTAAAAATTATTATAAGTATGAAATTCCTTATTTTGTTTTTCATAATAACATAGTGCAAAATTCCGCGGAAAAGACGTCAACGTTTTCGCAACTTGTATATATAAACATTGAAATATGGATGTATACATAGACTGTGCATGCAAAAATAACGGAAAGCCATCAGCAAAAGCAAGCTTTGTAAAATTCTGGGAGAAAAACAGTACAAGAAAAAGTTAGGTCTAGTTCCAGATACATACAAGCAAACCAACAATACTGGAGATTTATTTGCTGCATTTAAATACCTTCAACAAGTTCATCAACTTAATATAGTTGATGTTAACATAAAAATAGATAGCGAATATTTGGTAAGGGGAATCTCCAGTGATATTACATACTGGAAAAACAACAATTGGAAACTCAAATCCTCCGGAAAAGATATAAAAACAAAGAACTATGGTCAGAGATTGACAATATGTCAACAAATTCTGAAAGTGGACAAACTGAGGCCGACAAACTTGCAAAAAATGCACTTAATATTAAAATATCATCTACTAATATTATGCAAATTCAACAACAAATCACAATGCATACATTTGATGAGAGTGAATGTAGTGATAATTAAGATGAAACAATTCCACTGAAATTAGTAACACCGCGCCGAAGTGCACATTTCCTGTTCGTCCAATACGAATCAAACGTTGAAAAGGCAAATGCTAAAATGGTTGAAAGAGTAAATAAAACAACATCACCTTTAAAATTGTCAGTTGGAGACTATGTGTACTTGCACGACGAGCCTACTGGGCAGGGACGAAAATTACAAGCTAAATATACTGGACCTTTTATTGTTGATAATATACCAAGTCCTCATTTAACAAAAATTAGAGATCCTGAAAACAAGCGAAGATTTCGAATGCCTGTGCACATAAATAGATTAAAAATGACATATATTCGTGCCCCTCAACCACAGCCGTATTTACAACATGTAAGTGAGAGCCAAAGTTCTATTACTACGGTCGATTCTTCAAATTCGTCATTATCTGAACAAGTCCCTGTACGTCAGTCAACTAGAAACAAAAAGCCACCCACAAAATTTAACGACTTTGTTAATTTAGGAACAGAATCAATATCATCAAACGAAAATCGATATCATAAAATCAAACGTGTGCTAGCAAGGAAAATCGATAACAATCAATTAAAATATCTTGTACAAATTGTCGGTGAACCAGCACAAAATTCTATATGGGTAGAGGAGTCAAGTTTATCACCAAAAGCAAAGAAGGTAGTTCAAAATAGACCACCTCCAATGATACTGTGAGTCTATTTTTGTGTGTGAAAATTGTTTCGCCACAACCAATCAACATTGTTTCAAACGTTTTATACAGATCTGTGTGTGAGAATTGCCTCGCCACAGCTAGTCAAGATGAAAAGTTTATACTTGTGTGTGAGAATTGCCTCGCCACAAGATTCTGAAGTTGAGTGTGTGAAAATTGTCCCGCCACTCTCTTTATAATTATGTACTTTAATACCAAACCACGGATACCACAGATGTAGATGGAAGAATATTTGTGTGACAATATTAAATAATTTTAACATTTTGTTGATATGTGTTAATTGATTTACATTGAACTGTTAGTGACATTTACTTCATTTGTGTGTTATATTTGATCTTATATGAATTTTGTTTTTGCATGCTTATATAGAGGGCTACACGTGACTGCATTTAGAAGTAGTATATTTGTTGTCGTTGATCCTTGAATCGTGCTGATAGGGTTATTTGTAAAAGTAATTTTTGCTATTTGAGTGTCTAATTGTATTAGGAATTTTTGGGTGGAATCAAATGATTCAAATGGTATAAAGTGTAATAGTGGCCAAAAATTGGTGGCCGGGATTTTGTTAAGTGTTTAAATGTTGAACAACAGATGTACATGTAGTAGCGCAAAAGATGTTATGCTAGAAATAACCTATGTTTTCATATATATATAACTATTTTTGACTGAATGTTGTAAGACTCTTTAATCTCAGTTAACGGAGCATTAATGAGTAATTCTGTGAGTGCGTGAGAATATATTAGTTATTATTATTTGAAATTAATTAAGAGTTACGGGTCTCTGCTAGTGTCATCACTTTCAAATAAGTATGTACGTGTTGAAGACCGTACTGTGACCTATAATGGTTTACTTTTATAAATTTTGACTTGGATGGAGAGTTGTCTCATTGGCACTCATACCACATCTTCTTATATCTATATGTACTTTAAGCTACAATTTATGCATCGCAAGTGTTCACTTGAGCAAAGTTGACAGTTGTAACTTCTGTCGTGCTCTTGGAAGTATCCGTTAGAAAAACAAGTGAAAGTTTAATGGTCAAGATTTTACGACCTCTAGTATCGAACATCTGTGTCTGGATATTCACAGAGAGATATTAATGGTGTTGTGGTTTCTATTTAATGAGTTCTAATGAGGTTGGTGGTTAGATTTGTTGATTTGTAACCATAAAATTTATGCACACTTGTCATTTTGACAAATCAGATAAACAGAATTTCCGTTTCAAGAACTGAAAATAAAACTGCAACTTAATTACACTGGTAAATAAGTTTAAACCATGATCATTGATTCTAATTGAAAATGTTTTATTGTTTTCTGTTTTCACATACATTTTGACATAATGAATTTTTTTTACTGCATATTTTAACGAAGAAAAAGAAACCTTTTATTCTAATTCTTTTTTATTTTTATTTTTTGATTACCTAATTTCGCAGTTATTAAATTTGAAACATAGTATTTTAATGAGAACTTTTGATTTTTTTTAATGTGTGTTTAAGTACAATTTATTTGCATATAGATTGTTTCAGATTTTTTTTTAATTATTAATCATAATTTTTATATTTACAGATTTGATTTACCAGTAAGAAATTTTTAGAAATTTCTAAATTGTGGGCGGGGATGTTATTTTTATCTTTTTAATACTGGTTAATGAAATCATAACAGTGTGTACTGGCTGGTCATTATCTCGTATGCGATCTTGACACGCCTACATAGCTAATAAATATTCATGACTTGAGAGATAAGAACAGCACATGTAGCCAAAAACTGACAGTTGTAGATTTGTAGTATAAATGTAAACATGCAGTTATAGAATTAGAAAATAATAACAGAAATATAGTGTTTTATTTTAAAAAGCCAAGCGAGTAAAAACACGGATCTATCACAGGTCGTGATTTATGTCAGATTCTATTTGTAATGCATCACGATACACAGCCTGCAGTGATAATTAAAATTTTACGCATTGTCATTTATGTATATTATAAAAAGCAAGGGTCCAAAAACAGACCAGTTGAAATATTGCAAAGTTTTAAAGAAGACTGATTTATAACCACTGTTTGTTTTCTATCATTCAGATAGCTTTCACCTACCATTTATAGACAGGTTTTTCCAATTATCTGCCTTAGTTTGTGACGCGACTCCTAGACGTCGTTGTAGTACGATCGCCATTACAACCGTGAAAAAAATGTAAACAAGATATACATCTATTTCCCAGACCGCATATATTAACGTAAACACAAGAATGTGAAGCGTACTTGACCTCGGCAAAATTTCAAAGTAAATAATAAAGTAATTAGATAAGGAATGGACATTAAAATTATAAGTGTATTGCAGGCCAGGTGTCGTGTCCTTAAAATATAACTAATTTTATTTGATACGTTAGAACCGGGACATAATATTTGCGAATACGAATCCCAGGTTACATATCGATTATAATCATTTGGCAATCATAATATTGATTATTATAACCCGTACATAAATAAAAATAAATTGTCTTGTGGGTCGAATGTGATATATCAGAAAAACCAGGTGCAATTTTATCAAACTCATAGAAATTTCTGTAGTCATGCAAACCTATAATGAGGCAGTCCTAAAATTCAACAATCTTCTAACCCGACGGTCCTTTATTCGACAGCCCGTTTTCTCCGGCGCGCGGTTACTTACATCTTCTGAAAAAATTATACCTATAGACATGTACCGTTTGATGATAAACTTTTTTCACAGAACTTGACGATATTTTTGCTTTTGGTTCAACTCACGTATACTGCTCAAAATTTAGTGACGTTTTCGTATCACTTTTGTCTCCGCGTGAATTGCGCTATATGCTATCAGTGCGTCAGGCCATATGTAGACTTAACTTTGCGATTTAATTGGGCCGAAGAAGTTTTGAACTTTCACGGCCCATGTTATCATATAGTTAGTAGGTGTTCGATTCCAATTTCTTTTGTAGAAAAATTGCTTGACATGAAACTACTAGTATGCATAGCCTATAACATCATGCTCCGGCCCGTGCTGAAAATAAATAAATGTCATTAAACCACAAAAGACGCAAACGTGTAAATTAAAAGCAATGCTTAGAATTATGTTTTAAAAGCGTCATTTAGTGTTTTTCCAATTTCCCCTTCCCCACCACCCCAAAACAGAGGTCTCGTATATTTTCATCCTGAATCTGTATTAGACTCCTTTATGAGTCCCCGATATATATAATACAGTGAAATACAGAATTACAGTATTACATTAGGGATGTATATTGGACCATCCGACTAAAGTGAATATATACTTTTTATATAGATTAGACCGTTGGTTTTCCCGTTTGAATGGTCTTAAGTAATTTTTTGGGCCCTTTATAGCTTGCTGTTCGGTGTGAGCCAAGGCTCCGTGTTGAAGACCGTACTTTGACCTATAATGGTTTACTTTTATAAATTTTGACTTGGATGGAGAGTTGTCTCATTGGCACTCATACCACATCTTCTTATATCTATTTAAGCACACATTCCTTCATATATATGGACCATTAAGACGAGGTTTATAAAGAAGTGCCCTTAATAGTAAGTTTTGCTATGATTTGTC